ATTAAAACATATGAAGAAGGGCTGCAGGACTTGGGTTCCGCTAGTCTAAAGAAAAGAAGAAACAGAGGTGACATGATAGCAGTATTCCAGCATTTGAGGAGCTGCCACAAAGAAGAGGGCGTCAAACTATTTTCCAGAGCACCAGAGGGCAAGACAATGGTTGGAAACTGACCAAAGAGAGAAGCAACCTGGAAAAGGAGAAACTTCCTAATAGTGAGGACAATTAATCAGTGGAACAGCTTGCCTTCAAACATTGTGGGTGCTTCATTACTGGAGTTTTAAAGAAGAGACTGGACAGCCATTTGTCTGAAATGGTATAGGTCAGTGGTGACGAACCTATGCATGGGTGCCAGAGGCGGCACTTGGAGTCCTCTCTGTGGGCCCACGTGCCGTTGCCCCAGCCTTGCCTCTGCCCGTGACCCCCTCCTCACCAGCAGCCCCCCTGGAGGAGAGTCACCCCTGAGTGTGGACCACACGGAGCAGCGCAGCCAAGGACATGGCAGCCAGGCAGTGTAGATAAGACTCTGCCCTTACGCTCCAATATGCACAATTGATGCTGCGGGGCGTGGGCAGAGGGCGTGGCCATAGCGCTACTGGGCTGCCTGGGTGATCTGCGGCAGGCCCTGGAGGTGGTGAGTGGCCCTGCAGGCAGGCAGGGTAGGGTGGAGTGGGGGCGGGGCAGGGGGTGGAGTGGGGGCAAGCAGGGGGTGGAGCAGGGGTGGGGCCAGTTTTTGAGCACTTGGTCTCTAAAAGGTTCGCCATCACTGCTATAGGGTCTCCTGCTTGAGCAGGGGGTTGGACTAGAAGACCTCCAAGGTTCCTTCCAGCTCTATTCTATTCTATTCTATTCTATTCTATTCTATTCTATTCTATTCTATTCTATTCTATTCTATTCTACCTTGAATGATAGTCAAGTGGATGGATTGCAGGAAGTTCTCCACAGCACTGTTTTCCAAAGATGGGTGGGTTTTGAAGTAGCAGCCATGCTGCTGTGGGTCTCTACCTTTATTACCCTCATCATGAAGGACTATTTTTTTCTTTGATTGGCCAACACCATCTCTCCATCTTTCTTAATGCATAATGATCCTCCTTTCTTCAGTCACTTCTTGTGAGCAATCTCATGTTTTTTGCTTCTCCTAGTCTGCATTATCAAATTTTATTCTTTCTGGTAATACAGGCATTTTCTTTGCCCAGAAGTCTGTTTGGTTAACACAGGCAGTTTGACTGCACAAAGGATATCTTTATTGGCCAGACACAAGCTGGGTACAGTCTCCAGAAGCCACTTTCACTCTCCTTTGTAAGGATAAAAACATGAGCAGTGCTTTCACAAGCTTCTTCTTTGGAGGTTGGACTGAATTTCACAATATGATTTGCAACTTCAAATAATGCATTTGGGTGAAATCTAGAAGTGGGCAATGAATGCATTGATTAGACTAGTTCATATGGGTTCTCAGAATCCAATTATATTTCATTTCTATCTGCCTACTCTGATGAAAACTCAATTCTTACTCTATTCTGGATTCTGTCGTACTACAAAAGGGGAGGAGGGAAAGCATGGGGGGTTTATGACTCTCACTTCCTTCATTAACTACAAAGTGACCGTTTGTGGATTCTCATCCAGAGAACTAACCATAACAATGTGGCCATCGCCTTTCATCTCACTCCCCTTTGCGGGCAGTGAGGAAAAGGGGGTGGGAAATACAACACCTGGGATCTGGGAAAAGAGAGGATGAATGATCGTGCAGAGGGAGCGGACAGATGGATTGAATCGCCCAGAAGAACTGTGGGGTGGGGGCTGCTTGGAAACACTTTAAAACATTGAATGGTGAGAGAGGATTCCCCAGATCCTGTCTAGCATGCCTGCAATCCGCTTCTCTTAATAAAGATCCCTGTTGGAAAAGACATTCCAAGAGTTCTGTCTTCTTAAGATGTAAAATTGAGGTGGGTCCTTACACGGCTACTATCCCAATTCTATGATCCTGGATGGACATAGGTATAAATTTGGCAGCTGGATAGAGAGGCATGCTATTAAAACAAATGCCATTTATACTGATATCTAAATATAACTTACCTTCTGGAACTCGGATGCAAGATTAATTGGCATGATCTGATTTTACGAAATTTGGCTTGAACTCAAACACTGAACTGTATTGCAGCATTGGTTTTCGCCAGATTGGTCAAGCTATTAAGGAAACTGTCAAGCCTAATTTGAAACTATTAGGAAAAATGCAGGCAGGTTTATAACCACAAGGCTCCATATCTGGATTGCAGAACTCCACATTGTCCCTAGGTGGCAGCAAAGAAAGAGCTTCCTGTTTTTCTGGGTTGACACCAAGTGGTGGTTTAGATTTTTGCAGCTCAGACACGGCAACTTTAATTTAAAATTAAAAATAAACCACACAACTGAGGAAATTAAACTCCCTTGTATTCTTCCAGGTGTTAGTGTGCCTAAAGAAAGAGATATTCTTTTCATTTGTGGTGGTTTTTGAGATTGTTGTTGTTGGTCTTTAAGATTAGTAGAGGGCAGAGGTCTATTAAAACAATTTGCTGCCATTTGCTAAGTGACCCTTCTATGTTCCAGACATGTGGGGATAATGTAAAAAACAGGAAAGAGATTGTAATGCTGTCTCGGTAGGATTCTCATTGGTTGTTTTTAGTCAGAAAATACTGGAATAAACAGCTCGCTATAATAAAGCAAGGATTCCTAACTTGATTACAGCCGTAATAAAATTTATGTTTTTCTCCAAATTCAATTGTAAAAGCATGACATAATACGTACGGTTTGTACTGACGGCTCAAATGCATCCATCTGGCATTACTCTAATGTGCTTCTGGTGCCCAGCATTTAGGTTGTAAATGTTATATAAGGTTTGCTTTGCTATCCTAGCATCAGATCAGATGCTTTACGCTTTGTGAAACCACACATTTGCTCTCCTTTCTCATATAGATGTCCACATTCTTGATAGTTTGTGGCGATTGTGGATTTATATTTGTGGGTGTTGGATCTCATTAGCCACAATCAGGACAGAAAACAGATTGCCAAGGAATAAGTCTCATTTTGAACTCAATTTATTCTTAAGAAAAAAAAGATGATGGTCACAGCAATTCTAATGAATATTTTAGCTTTCAAATGTAAACACTATATATAGGCAATTCAAAGCAATTAGCGTTTTGCTTGCTTTTTCCTGTAGTTTTGCATTTTTGGGGGAATGCCAGCAAGCCTACATCTAGATATTAGTTATGTAATGGCTACTAGCTTTTTTTTATTGATATGCAAATACATTAGAACATTGGATTGCTTTTAAAAAAAAATAAAAAAATTCTTATGTTGAAGTTTGTATGCACAGAGGTCATTCATTTCTACAATGAATCTCCCCTAGTGCAAGAGAAAGTTAAAATAAAAAAAATTGGAAGGAATGAGTAAGCAAGCAAGCAAGGCATAAAACAAATATCTAATTTAGATAAGTGGCTTGTCTACAACATCAGAGCATAATTTATGGCCCTGGGGACAGCATGCGGCCCCTGAAGGCTGCTGTTTTCTGTGTTGTGTGGAAGGCAAGCCGACATGATGCTATAAATGCAGATTGTTCTGAATTGTCTGTCATGACAGTATTTCCATATTAAATTTTTAATAGCATCTCTTATTTCACTCTCACTTTCCAATAGTTATATGCCATTCCATTAATTACTAGGTTCAATTGAACTTGTTCAATGTTGCCTAAGAACAATTTAGGTCTTGTTTTGTTTACAAGAACAAATGCTGTCTAAGCACTGTATTTAAATATAAGAATGGAAGTAGATGCTACTTTCAAAGAGAAGTTCCCTCAGCAACACATCATTCTTAACATCCTCATAATTTCAGTGGCTTTTGTCTCTTTAGAATGCACCCCAAAGTGCTTGTGTCTCCCTATAAAGAGTGACTTAAGCAGCTGCTTTCCAGCACTTTATTATATTTCATAGCATTATAGGCTTTAGGAGTAGTTTCTCTTTGTGTCTGTGTTTTAATACATTGCTAATGTTCTTTTTCCTGTTTTTTTTTTAAACTACCTGGAACTTGTGGACTCCCAGGGAAAAAATGGCAAACCGAGACAGTTTTGTTAAAATTGGAGTCAACAACTAAAGCGAATGAGTGGCTGATATATAAACCAGCTCTTCATAATTCCTCTCTGGAAAGACAGTTGCTCCCTAGTTGCTCTTTCATTTTAATTAGGAGCATCTTTAAAAAAAAATTATGACAAGCCTCAGTCCTTATTCAAGTTTTGTATTCTGGTTTTGAAAGAATGGAACATGGAATATCATCACTAGCAATACTAAGGCAATTTACAGTCCTATTCCACCACCCACTGGGCCATATTTAGTGCTCTGTTGTAATTCTGTTATGTAGATTCTGATTGTTATATTTCAGAGCTGCATCACATTTTTTTTTTAAAATTAGATCTTGATGGGCCCTTGTATACTTTGTACTAGGCAGAACTTTTGGATTACTCTATTTGCCTAAAATGCTATCCTTCGCAGTTCACAGAAATTATACATATATGGGTGACCATCACGGACCCTTTATACCATAGATCAGGGTTCTCAACCTTGGCAACTTTAAGACTTGTGGTCTTAAAGTTGCTTTGCTGGCTGAGGAATTCTGGGAGTTGAAGTCCACAAGTCTTAAAGTTGCCAAGGTTGAGAACCCCTGCCATAGATCAAACAGCAAAATGCTGGATGGGGCTGTCATGGTTCCGATAGATGAAACTCTCCATTGTTTACCTTAAAGAATCTTTTATTCGAGAAACAAAGTATTGGCACTACTTAGCTGAAGCCAAAAAGTGAATTCCCCTTCCCTGGCACAAAGTAGCAAAGCACAATTCCCTCCTCCAATTAACAGTCATAAATCACATTTCCCAATTAACTTGAAGTGGGGGCTTTCTCCCCATCTCTCCAGCCCACCAAATCTCTATCAACTCTGGGCCCAATGACCTTGGGTTCCCACCGCTGAGTTATTATTGTTATGACTAGCTGGACCCTCATTCACATTCCCCCTCCCAGCATCAAGAACTCTAAAAGCGATAGAGGAAAAATGGCTACATTTCCATCTGTTGTCAAAGCAAAAACATCCGATGTTAGCAGTGTTGACATCGGCTTCCTCAGTGGGCTGTACAGATGTGAACATTTCATAATGACTTGGTCTAATGTGATTTTGTGATAAAGATGAAATAAAAAATGAGGAGTGGAAGGCCGATTACAAGTGAAAGGAGCGCCAGGATGACAGCCGTCCTTGAATATCTCCGAGCAGCTGTAAGATTTCCCTCATGATTGGCTTTTTGAGTCTGGAAAAAAATATATGAGAGAAATGATGCAAAAATGCAACTGACGCATCTGATTAGGACATTAAAAATCTAGTTTAGCATGTCTTGAGGCCTTAGGCATTATGGGTAGTCCTCAGTTTATGACCACTATTGAGCCCAAAATTTCTATTGCTAAGCCAGGCAGTTGTTAAGTGAATTTCCCCCCCATTATATGGCCTTTTGGCCATGGTTGTTTAGCAAAGCGCTGCAGCTGTGACGTGAGTCCTGCGGTTGTTAAGTGAATCTGGATTCCTCTATTGGAAGCCAGCTAGGAAGATTGTAATACATGACAATTGTCAAGTGCATGAATTTTGATCATGTGACCTTGGTCATAATGCAAAAGTTGCAAGGTGGAAAAATGATCGCCAGTTCCTTTTTTCAGGCCATTGTAACTTCGGTCCCTAAACAAATGGTTGTAAGTTGAGAATTATTGGCATATTCTACCTACTTATAAGTAGAAAGGCAAAATATAAGTCGAATACTGATACTAATACCAATAGTAATAATAACATAATATTAATGGTATTTATACTGTGTAACTGGGGCCAAAGAGGTGCCTTTTCAGGAGGCAACTGGACTTTCTTGTTTTTCTTTGAAGATGTTTTGCTTCTCATCTAAGAAGCTTCTTCCGCTCTAACTGGATGGTGGGGAATGGAAGGATTCATACTCCTTGCAGACAGCTGGTCATTTGCCTTCTTTTGGAGAGTCGTTGAGGCCATTTGGAGGTTTATCTATGCCCTCAGGGTCACCTGAGTGGTGCAAATAGGTGTGGAAACCTCTTGGCTGCAGGATGTTTTCTGCCCTGTGTCCCTTTGGTATTGAAGACAGGCGCTGGCTGCTGGGGATGAGTCCGTGCTGTCCACACCTCAAGCTGAAGAAACAAATGGTTCCTGTAGTGTGCAATGTTTTTGAAAATCTGTTCATACTCCCGCACCATTCAAAGGATGCTCATCCCAAACTGCATAGCCAAATGTCTATGGAGATTATCAGTCACCCAGATCATGGTTCAGATATCCAGGTCATGGTTGTCCCAAAGCTGTTTTTTCAGGAGGCAACTGGACTTTCTTGTTTTCTTTGAAGATGTTTTACTTCTCATCCAAGAAGCTTCTTCTGCTCTGATTGGATAATGGGGAATGGAAGGATTTATATTCCTTGCAGCTGGTCATTTGCATTCTTTTAGAGCAGGGGTCTTCAAACTTGGCCTGGCTGAGGAATTCTGGGAGTTGAAGTCCACAAGTTATAAAAGGGCCAAGTTTGAAGACTCCTGTTTTAGAGAGTCATTGAGGCCACCTGGAGGCTTATCTGTGTCATCAGGAGTATAAATCCTTCCGCTCCCCATCATTCAGTCAGAGCTGAAGAAGCTTCGTGGATGAGAAGCGAAACGTCTTCAAAGGAAAAAAAGAAAAACAATAAATTCCAGTGGCCTCTTGAAAAAACACATTTGAGGCAACCCTGACCTGGATGACTGAGAATCTCCATAGACAACTGGGGCCAAACTACCACTTTTGATGCCTATCCACATTTTTCTCCCTATAGATACAGATGTGACTACAGATAGTTGTTGACCTGCAGTAGAGACTATTCAAAGTTATAGTGGCATTGAGAAAAGGTGACTTGTGGCCAGTCCTCACACTTACAGCATCCCACAGTTACATGATCAAAATCCGGGCCCTTGGCAATCAGCATGTATTTATGATGGTTTTAGCATCCCAAGATCATGAGATCACTTTTTGTGACCTTGCTAGCTGACAACCCAAGTTAACGGGGGAAGCTGGATTTGCTTAATGACCATGTGATTCACTTAACAACCGCAATGATTTGCTTAATGACCTCAACAAAAAAGGTAGCAAAATTGGATGCAACTCAATTCACAACTGTCTTGCTTAACCATGGAAATGTTGGTTCCAATTGTGGCCCTAAATCAAGTTCTACTTGTATTAATCTTTAGTTGACTCAAGTGGTACAAAATGGGCATCTATAAAACAGTCGACATTTTAAAAAAAACGGGCTGGGAGTTGTGATTTCCTATCCTAGCTTATCCTACATTTCCTTTCAAAAGGGAAGAGATGAGGAAGTTTGGGTGAGAAAGAGGCAGGAATGTGTGGGGAAAAAAAATCACAGAGAACAAGGTGTGCTGCAGCTGCCAAAAAGGCCAACACAGTGCTAGGCTGCATTAACAGAGGGATAGAATCAAGATCACGTGAAGTATTAATACCACTTTACAATGTCTTGGTAAGGCCACACTTGGAATACTGCATCCAGTTTTGGTCACCACGATGTAAAAAAAGATGTTGAGACTCTAGAATGAGTACAGAGAAGAGCAACAAAGAGGATCAGGGAATTGGAGGCTAAAACATATAAGGAAAGGCTGCTGGAATTGGGTATGTCTAGTTTAATGAAGAGAAGGACGAGGGGGGACATGATAGCAGTGTTCCAATATCTCAGGGGCTGCCCCAAAGAAGAGGGAGTCAAGCTATTCTCCAGAGCGCCTGAAGGCAGGACAAGAAGCAATGGATGGAAACTCATCAAGGAGAGAAGCAACCTTGAACTAAAAAGAAACTTCCTGACAGTCAGAACAATTAACCAGTGGAACAACCTGCCTCCAGAAGCGGTGAATGCTCCAACACTGGAAGTTTTTAAGAAGAGACTGGACAGCCATTTGTTTGAAATGGTATAGGGTTTCCTGACTGAGCAGGGGGTTGGACTTGATGACCTCCAAGGTCCCTTCCAACTTTATTATTATCATTATTATTAAGGTGGATTTGGTAAGTCTATGCCAAAAGCAATAAAAGAGAAATAATATAAAAAAGCTGACTTCACATAGAATGTCTGTGAGAAGATGAGACTCCCAGGAATTCTGGGAGTTGAAGTCCATGAGTCATAAAAGAGCCAAGGTTGCCTACCCCTGGGCTAGAAGACCCCTGAGGTCCCTTCCAGCTCTATTATTCTGTATTCCCCACATTTATCCACTCTCCTATCAGACATATCAATCATTTTATTGCTTTGGAAGCTAAATTAAATCCCATTATTCCTTCTGACTCTGCATAGTAAACAGTGGAGATCAAAGGTACCTCATATATACAGTATATATATGTGAGGCACATATCTTATCTCCAGTGGAAAAGACATCTATGAAGTGAAAGTCATGAATCATCACAATGGAAACTCTCAAAGCAAGACTTGAGCTGCAATTCACAGAAACCTCTAACCTTCAACTGAGGATTCATCTTGCCACAACAATGGATGTTTCTGGAAAAAAATTGCTAATCTCCAATATTTGTATATGACTTGATTATTTTTCACGTATTTGATGGGAAGGACATAGTTCAATGCATCCCACACTGACAGGGAGAAAATTTAGGGTGACTCATAACATCTCTAGTTTCTCTATTTTCAGCATCTTTAGAGAGTTGGGGTTTTTGAATAGGAGCTATGCAAGTACTGTAGTGTTTAAGGCCCATAAAACCACATTGGGTTATTGGCGCCAGTTCATGCAGCCACAATCAACATTACTTCTCTATCCAGAGGTGTAAAGCTCTTTGAAACAGGGCTTTGTGAAGTCTTTGTGAGATGGATGATACTAAATACTGCATCCAGTTTTGGTCACCACAATGATAAAAAGATGCAGAGACTCTAGAAAGAGTACAGAGAAGAGCAACAAAAATGATCAGGGGACTGGAGGCTAAAATACACTAAGAACGGTTGCTGGAATTGGGTATATCTAGTTTAATGAAAAGAAGGATTAGTGTTGACATGATAGCAGTGTTCCAATATCTCAGGGGTTGCCACAAAGAAGAGAGGGTAAACCTAATCTCCAAAGCACCTGAAGGCAGGACAAGAGGCAATGGATGGAAACTAATCAATGAGAGAAGCAACCTAGAACTAAGAAGAAATTTCCTGACAGCTAGAACAATTAACCAGTGGAACAACTTGCCTCCAGAAGTTGTGAATGCTCCAACACTGGAAGTTTTTAAGAAGAGATTGGACAACCATTTGTCTGAAATGGTATAGGGTTTCCTGCCTGAGTAGGGGGTTGGACTAGAAGACCTCCAAGGTCCTTTCAACTTTGTTATCCCATCCCATCCCATTCCATTCCATTCCATTCCATTCCATTCCATTCCATTCCATTCCATTCCATTCTATTCTATTCTATTCTATTCTATTCTATTCTATTCAGCGTCTCATCTTCCAAAGAGGCAAGGAAGTGGTGCAATTCAGTTTACTCCATGGCATATCTTTCCATGGTAGCCAATATGGTAATACTGAGGAATTAGTTTGATAAATGATAACCCATATCTTCAGATTTTGATAAAACAAAGCATAAAAGTCCTGGTAAAAGAGGATCAACTGAATTAAAGACTGGATTTTAAAGGATCGGAGGTGATGCAGATTGATCACCAGGGATGTCGATGAATGAAAATACTTCTATGCTGACATGGAGCCCATTTCATTTGTAGCAGACTACACAAGAACAAACACAGAGACATACATTCATAGGCTTACCAGTTTAGAGAAAACAAAGGCAGCTATGCCCAGGGGCAAGAAACAGCACAGTGCAGCAACGATAGAGAAGCCTATATAATCAGGTTCTTCAACTAGTTCAGCAGGCACAAAGACAACCGTCTGTGGTTTCTGAAGGACTGGAATGTGTTTGGATGCTGTCCTATCTGGGTCATCTACAGGTCGGTCCTTGGCTGGCAGAATAAGAGATTTCTCACAGTCTACACAATGAGCTGATTCAGGAGGAGTTTTTGGAAGATCAGGCTGAATTTCCGAATAATGGGGTGGACTTTGGGAGATAGGCATATCTTCTTGCATCCTGTGGTATTTTGGGGAGCTCATGGTTTTGGATAGTAGCCCTTTCTACAACTTCACTGGTGTTCTGCAGATTCCTTTGGTCTTTCTTCCCAATTCTCTCCGGTCCTGATTTCTGGCCAGCTGTATAATAACAAGCAATCTTGTTTTGATTTGCTGCCTACCCTGTCATGGTTCCGACAGCTGAAACTCTTCAAAAGAACTTCGAGGCATTGTTTACCTTAAAGAATCATAACATCGGCACTGCATAAACAAAACCGAAAACTGAAATCCTCTCCGCTGAGCCTATAGTATCAAAGCACAATTCCCTCCTCTAACTAATCACATTCCCCAATTAGCTTCCTCTCCATCCCACCAATTCCTTATCAGCTCTGGTTACAATAATCTTCTTTCTCATGCTAAGTTTGGTGTTATGTCTAGCTGGATCTCGTTCACATTCCCCCCCTCCCAGCATCATCTAACTCTAAAAGCAAAACGTAAAAGATGGCTACAATTCTATCTGTTGTCAATGCAAAAACATCCAATGTTAGCAGTGTTGACATACCCCTTCCGTGCTTTTTCCTGGGAGTTGCCTTTGTGTTCTGATTCTGACTGCAGTGAATTGACACACTCTCTCTCCCCCAGCTCCCTTTTTGCTGGAACATTTGTATATAAAATGCAGGCATCTCTGCTTTGCTTCTCTTTTGAGGGCTATGATGTATGTTCAGGCTTTGGACATAATAATGCCTATGTCATGGTTCCAACAGATGAAACTCTTCAAAAGAACTTTGAGGCATTGTTTACCAATGTCTACCAAAAACTAAATTCCCCTCCCCTGGATACCAAGTAACAAGGCACAATTCCCTCCTCCAATAAACAGTCACAAATCACATTCCCCAATTAGATTGAAGCCTGGGCTTTCTCCCCAGCTCTCCAGCCTGCCAAAACTCTATCAACTGTGGGCCAATGACCTTGGGTTCCCATGGCTTAGTTATTGTTGTTATGACTAGCTGGTCTCTCATCCACGTTCCCCCTCCCAGCTTTAACTAAAAGCAAAAATGGCTGCATTTTCATCTGTTGTCAAAGCAAGAACATCTGATCTTAGCAGCATTGACATCCACCTCTCCTTTATAAAAAGAACAAATCCTGTAATGCAAACAAAAGCACGGGTTAGGGGTTGCCTCTTGGTTTGTTAGGGTGTTTCTTATAGAACCTATTAATGAACCTGTCAGCCTTTACATTGCTAGATTTCATCCAGGTGGCCTCAGACAATGAATATCCCTTCCCCCTCCGCCCATTCATATTGAGCCCGCTGGGGCTTGACAGGGAGAGAGGGAGGGAAGGAGGAAGGCATTCCTCTTCCTCTCCTAAGCTTCAAAGCACGATCGGCTTCCCAAGGGTGCCACAATCCTCACGAAAGTGGGGAGGGGAGAAGCAAAGAGGGTGAGAAAGCGTGCAGCGGGCTCGAAGGAGCACCTGTCAGCGTTGGTAATGAGAAATTCTCCACAAACCCAGGGAAGGGATGGAGAAAAGGAGCCACCTTTGGGAGGAAACCACCACCATCTTCTCCTTGGCTTTGCACTCTTCTGTTCCTTGGCAGCCGGGCTGCCAAGCCTCTGCTAGCTGGAACTTCCTTTTCTTCCCTCCCTCTTGTCTATTCCTCCTTCCCTCCCTCTCCCATTGTCCCTTTCTTTCTTCCTTTCTTCCTTTCCTTCGCCTCCCTCTTTGTCCCTCCTTCCCTCCCTCTCTCCCCTTATCCCTTCCTTCCTTCCTTCCTTCCTTCCTTCCTTCCTTCCTTCCTTCCTTCCTTCCTTCCTTCCTTCCTTCCTTCCTTCCTTCCACCTCCCTCTTTGTCCCGCCTTCCCTCCCTCTTTCCCCTTGTCCCTTCCGTCCTTCCTTCCTTCCCTCTTGTCCAGGATCAGGGCGAGTCTCTACAGCTGATGTGCGCTTCTGCAGCTGTAGCTGGTCTCCTTTCCCAGCAAACTTGCTCGAGCTTTGCTAGAAAACATGCTGTTTGCTAATTTAGCAGAAGTGCAAATCAGCTGTAGCCCGGCGCTGATCCTGGAGCTTCTGCTAACTTAGCAAGCGACATGTCTTTCGGTGAAGCTGAGCAAGTGAGCTGGGCGGAGCTCTCCTCTGTCTCTGCCTGTGCACAGGCAGGTTTGCCAGCAGCAAAGCCTTCAGCCACATTGGCAGCCTATCCCCCTCCCCTTGTCCCTTCCTGGGCATGGAGGGGGGAGGAAGGAAGGGACAAAGAGGGAGGGAAGTAAGGAACAATGAGAGAGGGAAAGAAGGAAGGGACAATGGAAGGGAAGGAAGGAAGGGACAAAGAGGGAAGGAAGGAAGGGACAAGGGGATAGAGGGATTGAAGGAGGAAGAGACTAAAAGGGAGGGGAAGGAAAGGAAGGAAAGAAGGAAGGAAGGGACATGGGGAGAGGGAAGGAAGGAGGAAAAGACAAAGGGAGGGAAGGAAAGGAAGGAAAGAAGGAAGGAAGGGACAATGGGAGAGGGAGGGAAGGAAGAGGAGATTAAGAAGAAGGTGAAGGAAAGGAAGGAAAGAAGGAAGGGACAATGGGAGAGAGGGAGTGAAGGAGGAAGAGACTAAGAAGGAGGTGAAGGAAAGGAAGGAAAGAAGGAAGGAAGGGACAATGGGAGAGAGGGAGGGAAGAAGGAAGAGACTAAGGGAGGTGAAGGAAAGGAAGAAACGAAGGAAGGAAGGGACAAGGGGAGGGAAGGAAGGCAGGCACCCACCCCACTCCCATCCCAGAGACCCACGGATTCCCCCCCCGAGACACCCTGCAACCTGAGTGATCAGCTGGCCATGCCCCCTGGCTATTGATCACGTGACCCTGGGACACTGTGAATGTCATAAGTATGAATCAGTTGTCAAGCATCCGAATGTAAATCACATGACCCTGGGGATGCTGCAACAATCATAAGTGTGAAAAATGATCATAATTCGCTTTTTCAGTGCTGTTGTAACTTTTAACAGTCACTAAGCGAATTGTTGTAAGTCGAGGACTACCTATACTTTCCCATTTTTTCCTTTTTGATACCCCCCGGCCAGCTGGATGGGGGGTTGGGGGTCACCACAACATGAGGAACTGTATTAAAGGGTTGTGGCATTAGGAAGGTTGAGAACCACTGCTCTAAGAGGTGGTGCCATCAGTGGTTGCTGTGCTCCCCAGGGAGCCTGCATTCCCAGTGGTTGCTGGCCTCCCCATGGTGGCTGCTGCATTCCCAGTTGCTGCAGGCCTCCCAGTGGTTGTTGCACATTGGGGGGCTGTTACCACCCTCATGGCTGTTGCTGCATTGCTGGTGGCTGTGGCATCCCCAGTTGCTGTATGACCCCCCCAATGGTCTCAGCGACTGCTAAAATGGCACCTCCAGTTGCTGCGGGCCTCCCAGTGGTTGCTGCATGTGCAGAAGTTGTTGCCACCCCCACTGCTACTGACCTGTGGGTGGTTATGGCATCCCCAGTTGTTGTAGACCCCCCTGCGGCCCGGAGGTGGTTGTTGCTGGATCGCCATCAGTTACAGCCCCCTCAGCGGTTGCTGCACATTCGGAGAAGCCAACCAGCCCTACTGCTGCTGCTGTACTCCCAACAGTTGTTGACCCCCTGGCAGCTGCAACAACATCCCCGGTTGCTGCAAGGCCCCCATCTGCTGCTGGACATTTGGGGGCTGCACTGCCAGTGACTGCTGGCCTCCCATCTTTGGGGGCGGTAACATCCCCCATTGCTGTATGGGCCCCGGGCTGGGTGGCTGGTAAGTATGTTGATCTGGGCTTCGGCTGTCCCGGTGATGGCTCGGACTCTTATCTTGCCGGCGGTGATCTGGGCTTTTGGAGGGGCGATGACTGGAGCTATCTCTCCCCGCCGGGCTGGAGGCCCTGTTAGGTGGCTTCAAGGATGGGGAAGCTGCTTGACCTGTGCAGGTGGGACTGGGACTTCCCCTTGGCATGAGTTGGTAGCTGCCTTGCCGATCATCATGACTGCTTGTGTATGGAGAATGGGAGGGTTGTTCTCCACTCTTCATCTCTAGCTCCTCAAATCTTTCCACCAACTTCTCCACTGATTGACTACGGACTGTGGACAGGTACTTCCATTCACCCAAGTCCTCGGTGATAGTCAATTTCGTGGTTCTCCACTGGTCCAGAGAAAGTGACTTGCAGACAGCCCCTCCTTTCAGCTCAACCTTGATTGTGGCAAGGCTATCTTGAGATGTCTAGAGTCTCCAATGGGTAAGGTCCATCCCGACAACCAGATTAGTTATCCTTGTGGCTTGGGTCTTGCCACAATCTGAGAGACCTGAAAAAGTTCCTTCTCCACTGGCGCCCTGGTCTGCACTCCCTCCTCTGAGGTAGCAGCCACTGCCGGGGTGCTGGTTTCAGGCACTCTTTCCTTCTCCATGTTGAGATCTTCCCTGAATATTTGTCGGTCTATCCCTCAATTCTAGGGACAGCGACTGGGGCTCGGGATCCCAAGATAGTTAGATAAAAATTGTAGTTTTTGGTTTAATGTCATGGTTCCGACAGATGAAACTCTTCAAAAGAACTTTGAAGCATTGTTTACCTTAAGGAATCTTTTATTTGAGAAACAAAGTATCAGCACTACATAGTCAAAATCAAAAACTAAATTTCCCTCCCCTGGATACAAAGTAACAAGGCACAATTCCCTCTTCCAATAAACAGTCATAAATCACATTCCCCAATTAGCTTGAAGCGTGGGCTTTCTCCCCAATTCTCCAGCCTGCCAAAACTCTATCAACTCAGGGCCCAATGACCTTGGGTTCCCACAGCTGAGTTATTATTGTTATGACTAGCTGGACTCTCATCCACATTCCCCTTCCCAGCATTTTAAATTTTAAAAACAATAGAGAAAAATGGCTGCATTTCCATCTGTTGTCAAAGCAAGAACATCCGATGTTAGCAGCGTTGACAGTCTATTAGGTAGCTGTTGGAAAGAAGAAAAGGGGAAGGAAAGAAAAAATAGCAATCAATAATAGAACAAAATAGAATAGAATTCTTTTATTGGCCAAGTGTGATTGAACACACACAAGGAACTTGTCTCTGGTGCATAAGCTCTGAGTTTACCTACAACCTACAAAGTGGTAAGTCATAGATCAAAAAGCACAGTTACAATCATTAACCATGAGATATAAACAACAAGTGATAAATCATAAAATAACAATAGGAACAGATAGTAGGAAAGATGAGAAGATGAGAAAAGATGAGAAATTGGAAGATGAGAAGGATAATAGCAATGCAGCCTACTACATGGGTAAATATATTTAGACCTAAGATAATGCTGTGAGAATTAGGCATTCAACAGAGTGATGGCATGGTTCTGAGGTTTTGCTTGATAAAAAAGACAGAAAACCAGAAGTTGCCTTCAAGCCTCACGTTTTTATTCAGCTGAACAAAAACGGGCTTCTCCAAAAGAGAAAAAGCCCCAAATATGAGAAAAGCTTTATTTTTATACCTTCTTTGATTACATAAGCAAAGCTGACACACATAAGATAAAGACTTCGCCCTTTAAGGCTGGTACACTGTAGATAAGAAGGAAGAAAGCAGAAGTAGCTACAAACACCTTTTGGGTGTTCCCCCAAGACACCATATGTTCCCTTTTGGATGGCTTACCGTAAATGCCGGCGTATAAGATGACTTCCGCGAGCGCTGAAATTGGCGCCAAAGACGGGGGTCGTCTTATACGCTGAGTCGTCTTATAAGCCGGAAATACTGGTAGTTTCCGGCGTATAAGACGACGTTCTAGGAATGCAGCCCGACTATAAAGATGGGGGTCATCTTATACGCCGGGTCGCCTAA